GATTCCCTGAACACATCATCTTCCTCTGGAAGACCCTTCCTTTCTCCATCTGGTCAATGGGGATGCCACATGCAGGCTTAAAAGCAGGAGAAAGGGCTCAGTGTCCATCTCCTCTTCTTCTCTTCCCACAGTGTCCATCTCCTCAGTGTCCATCTCCTCTAGCCTTGGACTTGGGTCCCATGTAGCCAAGGGTTTCTGGGGAGTGTCTGGAGCAGGGATACAGTAGGAAATCCTGTGCCCATTACCAATGCCCAACACCCCTTGAAAGGTTTAGGATCAGCTAAAAAATGTCAGAGCACCAAGGCTCAATGGCGTGCCCCTCTCAAAACAGGTCACTACCTGCCCTGCACTGGACCCCAAGACTGATCCAGGTGAGAGCTAACCTGGGGGCCAACTAAAGGACAGGTCACAGAGGCAACTTATCGCTGGGACACAGAAGAGTTCTAGATCTAGTTCTGCCACTGACTTGCCAGGCCTCTGTTATCTCTTCTGTAAAACGGGAGCCATGAGGAAAGAGATGAACAAATCACCACCCAAGAGTAAGGGACTGCCTCGCCAGGGCCCTCTTCTCCATGGCTTCTGCTCCTGGCTCTCTGCTGCTGCTGCTGATCACTAATTCCTAATGCTGCCTGCCTTCCTCCCTCCCACCTGACTCAGAAAGCCCACGAGGTGTGGTTTTTCCTCCGAGACCATGCCTACCCAGTCCATTGAATTTGACAGAGGGAGGGTCAAGCCACCTTAGCCAACAGCCTCTCAAGCGGCAGTCCTTGTTGCATGACTCATAGATCAGCTTCCCAAAGTTGGCCAAGGGAGTATCCTCTGAAGCTCCTGGCTAGGCAAGGATGGTCATTCCTCCAGGCCCTGAGGCTGTCCTCCCAGCTGCCTCACACAGACCACAAAGGGGATGCAGGGGACCCACTCGGCTCCCAAAGCCCACTCTCAGCCCCAGACAGGCAAACTCCTATCCTTGGGCAGAGTTGTGGCTTTGTTCTACTCATCCACACTGGTCACACATCCCCTGGGCTCATGGGACACCTGTCCAGAGCACAGGTGACACAGACAAACCATCGGAAAGCTGTCAAGACTGGGGCCTTTTTAAACAAGACACTATAGTAGCTCCTCTAAGTGTTCGAATTGCCATGTCTATATGAAAGGGCTGAGGCCTTGAGAAGGCCCATCTGTGAAGCCTCTTGACACCCTTGCTACTGTTCTCAAATCTCCTGTGGTGGAACCTGAGTGGCAAAGAGGAGGGGGTGTGGAGTGCTACAGAAGATAATGTCCAGACCCAGATTAGGAAGAACTTCCAGGGTTGGAACTATCCAACAAGGGAGAGGTCTGCCAGAGGGAGCATTCCTGGTCTGGAAATGTTTGGAAGAACACCAGCAAATATTCTGTGCCCAAAACGTTTAGTCAAAGAGGTGCAGTAACTGTTGGGCTGGAGAAAGGTTAACAGGTTTTGTATTGCAGGACTTCTCAGTGCCTCTACTGTGTTAATGGGCATTGTGTGTCTCCATGGGAAAGGTAGAAGCTGTGCTTTCCAAAACATATTTGACCCCAAAGCCCTTTCCCCAGCATCCACAAAGTAGGGGTCTCTTGATGGTGGGGCCATGCCTTCCAGCTACCTCTGCCCTTAGAGGAAGAAGGAAAAACAACTGCCTAAGAATCCAACCTGAATGGAATGAGACAGTTACATCTCCCCTGGGAAGGGGGATACAGGGGCTAACTAGCGGGGAGGAGGGGCCTCTGGGCATCCCCCTCCACGGAGCCCAAGAGGTAATGCAACAAGGAGGTAACTCTACTTTTCCAGAAGTGGAATCCCACAGCGCCTATACTGCTGTGAATTTAAATTCCAAACAAACCTTGGCAGAAAAGATCCCATGCAGCCCAACCCCCACTCCGTCTAAGAACTGCTTTCCTTGGGTACCTGGAGAGAGAAGGGGCTTAGCCAAGGGCCTCAAGAATCCCTCTCCAAAGGCATAGAGTTGTTGCCATCGACCAGGTTTGGGTTCACAGGGCCTGGTTTCTAGACCCAGAGGACTTTTAGGAAACTGCACAAAGTGCCTGTGTCCGCTTTGGCCTGGCACCCTCACCACAAGCAAGAAAGCCCCCCCAAGAATCCAAGTCACTCCTGGTGCCTGCTCCTGTACTTGGAAGTGAACTCTCCATCTCCTTCTCTGCTCCCAGGGCCAGTGCGCCACTCAGAACCCTTGGCTTATCTTCAGCTTCCAGAGCCGAGGTTCCAGGGGCACAATAGGCTTCTGTGCCCCCATGTCCTCACCACCCCTCAGTCCCAGCTGCATTCATGGTGTTTTGCTATTGTGGTGGGAGCAGACTGGGGGTGGTGCAGGAGGGGGTAGGCTCTTGGCACAGGGGCTGGCGCAGACAGGCCATGGTCAGTGGTCAGCATGCAAGTCACATCCGCAGGCACTGCCACTGGGCCTGCCAGGCCTCGCACAGAATGGCACTGCTTCTGGGCCCCCTGGGTCCCTTCGTAGAGTTCCCTCTAGCCCACACACAACTTGCTTCCTCTCCGCCCAGCCCCTCGATGGCATTGAGGTGGGGGGGTTTATTTTCTTGCCTTCTCAGCCGGTTGCTATTTTGGAGCCATATTAGGTCACCAGCTAAGCCCTGGACGCAGGAAAGGCCTGTCCCCAGGAGCACAGCTGGGGCTCGAGATGGTTTAGGAGGCGAATGACAAGTGAGCCTGAAGCCAAGAAAGCCTTTCAGAAGCCAGAAGCACAGCCCTCCAGCTCCTCCAAGGAAGCCACTGGCCTGTGAGCATAAGAGAAGCCCCTCTCATCTCCCACAGCCTGGCCTGTCTGCAGACACATCCTCTCTTGAAGATTCAAACACGTTACAAATCCCAGACACACCATCCTAGGTGATAGCAGAGACTAAGCTTAATAAATGGGTAAACTGAGGCCCGGAGAGAGACAGGGGGCTCCCTGAAGTCAGGTCATGAGAGACGTTCTCCAACTACTGCACTATATACAGTATAACCTCTTCCTGCTCCTTCTACATTGTGCCCCTTCATGGGGAAATTAAAGCATATGGCAATGAAGTGACATGAGGCAGGTCCCACTGAGCACCTGCTGGGATCCTGGATGCCAGAAATTTTCAAGAAGAAGCACAACATCCTACTCCCTACTCCTGATGGTCAAAAACTCCCAGGCCCTACACTTGATGGTCAAAATCTCCCAGGCCCACTCAGGGGAGACCCATAGGCGGGGAACAAAGCCAGCATAGAGAGCAGAGGCTAGCAGAAGCTGATTAATAACTCCCACTTGGCCTGTGGACCATGGTCATCCTCTTCCCTGGACAAGACCCTTGGGGTTTCCACAGCCTCCCACAACAAATCACCCACAATTCACACTCTGTATCCTCTTATGTGTCCTAATCTGTGGCCCCCAAGAACTTGTGGCTGTGACTCCCCAGGGGACCACCCAGGGCTCAACAAATGTTTGATAAGAGAACAAACAACTGAAAAGAGCCAGACACTGAAGAAACACTCCACAAACAGTCCTCCAAAGTCACTAAGAGTCACCTAAAGCCTGTTCCCTGAAGAGGTAGAAAGGTCTCTTACAAGAAAGAAAGATTCCCAGTCAAGAACAATTCCTCACATGGAGAGAATGCTTTACAGTTGACAATAAGCTCTGGCACACAAATGCTTTTGCCTGGCACCAACGGGTACCTTTCCAGACTCCCTCCATGATGCCCAAACCCCCACAACCATTCTTCCCAAATGGGTCAACAGGTCAGTCCGGGTAGTACTGGCCTGAGGCCAGCGTTTTATATGTCCATGTCTCCCCCAGTAAATAATGGCAGAGTTGAACACATTTATGAGGCTAGAAAGGGTGACCCTCTGCCTCCCCTCTCATCCTCAGCACACCCTGGCACACACAGGCCTTCTTCCCTAACCCAATCAGGACTCTGACTCACCTGAAATTCACCAGTGTGCTCTGGTCTGCAAAGAAAGTGACCCCCATGTATGTGTTCCTCCCCACCTCCTGCACTTTTGCAGAGAAGGTCCCCAGGAGGGGAGGAAGTGAAGGCCACAGATGGGTGTCTGCAAATGAGGCAGGAGTGAGTGGGGAGTGGGGGAGACCAGCTGACCCAAGAGAAGACAGATATGGGCAGACTCTGGAGGACTCCTCAAAAGGGGCTGGGAGGTGGTGGCCATCTGTGTATTTATCTTGCTGGCAAAGAGGCACTGCCCGGTCGACTTTGTAACTGAATCTACCAAACAGGCCGACTTTGCAACACAGCCGGCCCAGGTTTCTGCAGAAGGCGCTGGGCAGCTGGAACCTCTCCCCCTATCTAGTCCCCCTCCCAAGAGCTTCAAGAGGATTTCCCTTTCATTTCCTTCCAGGCTGGGGGTGGGGGGCAGGGGACAGCGCAGTCTGCGGGGTCAAGCCCTCAAAAACCACTTCCTATGTGGCTGGGGAAGGGCAGCTGGAGAATGTATCTGGGGATCCCTCTGTGAGAAGAGCCGGAAAGGTCTTCGGAGCAGGCACCGCTCTCCAGGGTGCCCTTCGGGGGTCTGGAACCACAGAGGTCGGAGGAAAGATTTCAGGTTCTTCCAGAGGAACTCAGCAGAATCTCTGCGCTCTGGGTCCTAGCCAGCGGTGGCCAGGAGGGGATAGGGTTGGGCATGGGAAGGACACTTGGTAGGGGCTCCCCGCCCTGGCCGCACCCGGCAGTCTGGAGAGAATCCGGAGACAACCCCCAACTCCCTTCCCCAGCCCCTTCGAGCAGGGCTCCCCGGCTGGGAGAGGGGGCGGGAGGGCCCCTCCTGGGCCTGAGTTACTGTGGGCCGGGCTCAGTCGGGAGGTGACGCGCTCCCGGCGCCCCGGGGACTTCGGGAGGCGAGTTTGGCAGAGTTGAAGGAAGCCGAGCCAAGGGCAATGAGGAGCGAGGCGAGCCGGGCCAGAAAGAGTGGGTCAGATGGGAAGGGGCCCGGCGCTGTGGGGCGGAGGGTGGGGACGAGCGGGGGCACCCACCTCTCCGCGCTGCAGCTGGAAGAAGCTGTTGAGATAGCTGGAGTGCAAGGGAGAGCCCAGCTGCTCCGGGCGGCCCTTGCTGAAGGCCAGCTCCGGGGGCGCGCCGCCGACGGTCGGCTCCGGCCGGAAGGCATCGAAGGCGCTAGCCTGGTGCGTGTCCTGCAGCGACAGGTAGACCCAGTTGAGCAGCTGGGCCGGCTGGTACACCGAGGCGGCGCTCGTGTCGATGGCCGACAGCAGGCTCATCTTGCGGTGGCGGTGCCGGCCCCTCCCCG